TCCCCTGGGACAGCCTAGGAGCAGCTGAAGAAACCGTCCCACCGCCCACTCCGGTGCCTGTTGGAGGGGCAGCTCCGCCACAGCTCCCTTTTATTCAGCGCCACGTTAACCATTATCTCAGCAAACGATCCAGCAAACCGCAGGGGAAGGGTGGGGAGACGCTGAAATTTGCAGGCTCTTGTTAGGTACAAATGCTGCTTACCTGCATGGCAGTTACTTACCCATGTGGTTTATGCGAAGAAATCGTGCAAATAAATATAAAGCAGCCCTTGCTGTAGAGACTGAGCGTAACCTGCCTGACGGGAGAAAGAGCATCCCGTTTCGGCCGCCCGGCAGCTGGGCCCCCCCCCGGGAGCTGCCGCATCCCCCGGCTCAGAGTCACGCAGCTCAGAAAGCTCTTTGAGATCTTTTTTTCAGATGAAAGCTGCGGACAGCTCGAGCCAGAGGGAAATGGGTGCTTTCAAAAAGAGGCTGAACTTCTTCTGGAAGTAATTGCAGGCACTCAGCGCGTTGGAGCAGCAGGCACAGATGGAGGCTGGGAATAATACGGTAATAGCCCAAGCCTGAGCAGAAGGGGCTTCTATTAAGTGCGATGCTTAAACTGTAAATTTCCCACAATAACCTGCAATGCCTCTCCTTGGCTTTTCTAACGCAGATGTGACCCGCAATGTGAAATGCCTTTAAAACACAAACATGGCCTAACACCTGCTATAACGTTGCCTACGCCACTCTTGCTGAGAGAAAAACGATAAAGCAAGGCCGGATGGCATCAACAACCACCAAAAAGCAAAACTGTGGCGAAGCCGCCGGATTAAAGAGCATCTCCTTATGCTGCCCACCTGCGGGCACAGAAGCTTTTCGGGCATTACGGCTGAGCATCCCACCAGTGCCAGCATCCGCATTTACTGGAAATTGAAAGGGATTTTAGCCTTATAAGAGTATCTTATAGGCACAACTATATTGAATACCTCATAGGAAAAACTATATTCATAGAATTTAAGGTTGAAAAATCCAGTTCCACACGGGAAGAGAGCGAGGCCTTGACTCATGTCCTTTACAGTCACGACACATGGCATCAGCCATCGCCAAGGCTCAGCCTTGGGGCGCTCGCGGAGCAGTGGGGTCCCTGCACCCCTGTGGCAGCTGCTCATCCTGGACAGGGACCATCCTCTGAACTCTGCTTCCACGGACACATGATTTCGGAGGGCCACCAAGAAGCTGGGGTATACATCAGTGGTTTGAACAGTGGCTTTTTCAACTCTCTCTGCTTTTTGCCGGTATTCCTGGGTACTGGGAGCCCTCGTCCTGGGTGCTCAGGAGCAGTGAGGGTGATGGAGGCTGAGGGTTTCCACCTTCCCACCTCGGGCCAGGCAGGACCGCGGTGAGCCCGGCTCCGAGGACAGCCACTGCCTGCATAGCGAATCTCCTGCGTCCCGCACAAATCTGCATTTTATGCTACAACAGATGAAGAACCACTGCTCTCGGAGCCGTCTGACATGAAAATTATTCCTTGGGAATTTCCTGGAGTGGGGAAGAGAAAAAGCCACCCAAATGCGGGCAGAACACTGCAGAAGCCCAGTCTCTGGTGCAGCCTCCACCAGCCAGGCAGGACCCCTCTCCCTGACCCCCTTTTCTTCCCGGGACGTCAACACCCACCCGCATTCCGCACGCTGGTGGTTTCGAACCAAAGGCCACTGCAAACTAGACCGAGACCACCAGCTCATTTTATGTTAGTCACTAAACAGACGTGAGATGATCACTTCAACTTAATTATATAATAATTAAGCCCTCATATTCCTGTCATCTGCAACTGTCAACGGCAGTCTGAGGAGAGCTGCTGCTCCTCTGGAAAAGCTGTCACTCTTCGCTGCTAGCTTCTGAGAGGTGTCAAAATAGGGGTAATTTTGCCTGCAATGCCAGCTAACGGCTGTAAACAAGCGATCGTGCCTCACTTCAGAGCTCTGCCGCGGAGCAGCTGCTGGGGCCGTGGGGATGGAGAGGTCCGGCTCGCCAGCAGCGCAGGATAGTGCCCCGGGGCAGCACAGGGAGCGCGGCAGCCTCAGTTCCCAGCACAGGGTCCCCACATCCCAGTGGTGGCACTGGCATTGCACCCCCCCTCAGGTGAAAGCACCTCCTTGCCTCGTGCGAGCAAGCTGAGTAAAATATATGTATTTAAGCATTTGACGGAAATGCGGCTTCATTTACTGTTCGCCCAGAAGAACGATACAATTCCCCGAGGTGCAGCTGAGCACAGCATCCACTCCGGCACGTGCGGAAAGCTGGAGGGGCTCCCTCTCTGCCGGAGAAGACAGCGAGGACACCACGTCCTCTCCCAGCTCCTCTGCTCACCAGGCCTGATCCTGCTCCCTCGCTGCACCTTCCGCAGCTGAACCCAACACACTGTTTTGTCCCCCCTCTCCCAGGAGAGCCGCAGCCCCAGGAGGTCTACACGTAAACCCAGGCTTTCTCCTTCCCCTTTGGCTGCCTCCCCTCCTGGCCGAGTCACGGAGCTCCCCATGTATATGTGTGCTACTCTAACTACCATTTTTTTCTTATTTAATTTTCACCAGCACCGCGCACAGCTTACAAGGTTTCATTTAGGATTGCTCTGCTGCCTGTCAAAAATCCTGCCACCTTTGTGGTTTCCGAGCGAGTCACTACCATTGCTCCAGCAACACCCCATCAGCTAATGGATAGGTGGAAAAGAATATCTCATTCAATTAAAGCAATGATTAATTTTTGCAGGAGAAGTATAATGACTTATATGGAGGGTTTCCCTCACCCTTGGCCAGTGCTGCTCCCGCGCAGCAGCGTGTACCCGCCACCCGAGCTTTTCTTTCTCACCCGTGGCCCAGCCACGTTTTAACAAATGCCTGATTAATCACCCTGGGAGGCATCCGCGACTCGTTGCCTCCTCCCAAACAAGTGCCTTGCCTGCCTCGCAAGGAGCCCGCCGACCTCTCAGCCCTGCCTGCGGCCAACGCAGCTTTTGGCTGTTCATTGTCAACACAGTCTGATTTGTCTGGGTGAGCCTGGCACGGCACACGGGAAAATAAAAGGCAAACCGGAGAGAGAGAGAGAGTGTCACTGCGGCGCGCTCGGCATGTGGCACCGCGCTCCCCGGGACACGCCGAGCGGTGCTGGGGGGGGGAACCGCAAGCAGGGGGAGGCAATCTAGGACTGCTGTGAGTAGAGACACCTTGACGCTGACCTTCATCCTTTATCTGCTCCATCCTCAAAAGGGGATTGGGGATAGGGAGGCTGGAGGAGGGCTGGCTCACGGCACTGCCGAGCCCGGAGCAGCCGCAGTGTGATGCTGCTGGAGGTGGAGGCACCGGGATGGAGATCCCGAGTGCCCGAGATGCTGAGCACCCCTTACAGCTGGGGTTATCATCACTATGGGGCTACATCCGCACGGAGCAGGTCGTACTCCACATGCTGCTGGAGCATGAGCAGCCAACACTGCCCCGAGCCGTCCCCGTGTCCCCACTGTGCTGAGCCTGCTCGCTTGGTGATGCCACCTGAGGCTGACCCAGGCAGCAGCCAAGCATCGCTGTGGGGGAGAGAAGAGAAATCCCCAAATGCAGGCAGAGACATACAGAAAATGCAAAAGCAAATTTGAGCAAAGCGGCTTAAATCAGCATCACAAACGTGACTTTTTTCATCCCCGTACTTTTGCGAGGGAAAGCTGTTAACCACGTTATTTTTCCTGGGTAACTTACTGGACAAAATCGCTGCTCTTCGCAAAGGTGTGCTGGCCCAGAATAGGCGCTCATCTGCCCTTTCTTACCCCCGAGTTTGACTTTCTATTTGTCTTCACAGAGCGGTTAAGTGAACAGCTGCAAAGGATGTTGTGTTCCTTGAAAATAATTCACTCCTCTTACGCCAGCTCCATGCAGCAAAGTTCTGGAGATCATTGCACAACGCCCTGAGCTCCTAAAAACATCGACGTCGAGAGGTTAAAGATTTTAAAGCCTGCTGCCACCTATGGATGGAAAGCAGTGAGAGCAGGAAACCGCCGGGGGAGCATGGCCAGCCGAAATGAAGACTTGAACTCCGAGTAAAAGCCGTGGGTATGGGGAGATGCCAGCAGCCCTGGGCAAGACCCGAGCTTTCCCCCACTCCAGACAAACTCAACAAGGTGCGAGACACAGAGGGCTGAGGGAGGCTATTGGGAAATTCGCCACCCATCATGTGAATACATGTCGTACAAGAAAGGAAAGAAACCATTTTTTTGGCTTGCTGGATTAATCTGATTACCGTAGCTTGCCCTCCCCTTTACCTAATTGTTCTGATGTAATTAAATCCTTAAAAAAATTGTACATATTTGCATTCAGATTGCTAAGGTGATAATTTCTGCAATAAAACTCTACAGAATACCTAAAATGGATGTTTGTGGGGCCACAGAAACTACAGAGCGGTGTATTCCGCCCTTGCTGGAGGAAACGGGGTTATCTATAATACAGAGGACGTGTTATTTGCATAGCATCATACCTAGCAGAGCTCTCAGTTCATGGAAGAGGCTGTTTGGTCCGTGGCAGGGTAAGGTGAGAAGTCAGGCAGTATTTTCTGCAGACGTGGGACAGGACCTCCAGCCACGTACCACCACGCAGGGGCTGAGACAGCTCCCACCCCATGAGCATCCTGCCTGCAAGCCGGACCGCGCGGGGGGCCGGGCTGCCCTCCGCTCAGTGAGACCAACCCTTTACCTTAAATCGGACAAAGAGGATAGGGAGGATGACGCAGACAAATGACGGCAATCCAATGTTATATGAGGTGCCGTTATATACATCATATTTAATGCTCATACGCATGGTATTGATCTTTTTTTGCTCTGGTTACCTGCACGCACGCTCTGAAAGGGGAGAGCTGACTGAAAACAGGTACGGTCTAATCCACTGGTCTCAGGCATCCACCACAACCACTGCATTCATCTTTAGAAAAAGATTTAATACTTTCAACACAGGGTTAAAGATGTCCTATTATTTTATTGCTTTTTGTAATTTCACAGGCTTCAGCTTCTTGAAAAACCTGTTTTTCTTTTATCCTGAGTCATTTTGCATGAAGAAACTATTGTTCTAAACTGTGACTCATCAGTTTGCATCACCACTTTCCGAACCCCCTCGGGGGCACAGGGGCTTCGAAGCAGGCAGTGGCAGCCAGCCTTTATTTACCGATAAATAGGCACTTCATCGCTGCATTGACTCGTCGCTATTTAAGCCTCATTTTGTTCTTACTTCCCAACCGTGAAGCCGGGAGTGATCGATCTGTTTGCTTTTGTAATAGTCTTTTATGAAGAGTGTTCACACAAACCATGTCTTACTGACAGTCTGTTTGCTGTTTAAATACAAGTACAAAAACTTGTAAGGAGACACAAGTATCTAAATGCTAGTGCTGAAATACCTGGAAATACCAAGTTTCCAGAAGCCAGCCTGCCATGAGGTAGAAAATGGAACTGCTTGTTGCTGAGACATGCCTCGTATACTAGAATTCATGGGAGAAAGAAGGCCACCATCCAAATTATCCGCTTCATTGAAGCTCTTACACAGATCATAACTGTACCTCATTAGTTTTTGAAATCCAAATCAAAGTATTTTATACCTTGCAAGTTGTTTAGGCGGATCTCCCTTTTGGAGCTAGACTCCCCTCCACCACCCAGAGATACATCACCCCTGCCCAGCAAATGCAGCGCCAACAGCAGCACGTGAGGGGACGAGCGAATTTTGCACGAGCAAAACTGAGCCTTTAGAGTTTAAAAGTGCAAAATTAAAGGCTTGATCCTGCTTTTCTCATGCACCTAGACCTCAGCACTTTTCCTTCTGTACTTCTGCTACTGAATAAGTATTAATAAAACAAAAGAAACTAAGGAATGACCTTACAAAATTAAAAGGTTGCATGCATTATTTCTTCTAAACCCCACGGTTGTCAAGAGCGAATGATACTCAGCACCTTACCCTAAATACATGATGCAGCACTTTCTTGTGGGACATAAATCACAGCTCGAATGTCCCACAGCCATAGTGCCGACTGGAATCAGAGGGAGCGGTGTTTGCGGAGAGCCCGCTGCAAGCTCAGGCAGCGCGCCCCAGCAGACTCTTGCCATGGTTCAGTTGGGTTGAGATTCATCTCAAGGGCAGGAGGATTGCACAAGGCACAGAGCAGCCTTAATGCTGTTGCATCTGAGGCAGAGAAAAGTGCAAGAACGTCACTTGAAAACCAGTGGAAAGAATAAAAAGAATGTCCAGACCTACAACTACGATGATTACTGTTAAGTACCCCAAAAGTGGGGTGCACACCATGATGAGCTTAACATGGGGCATAAATTCCTGATTTTCTCTAACAGCAAACAGCTTATTGATGAAATTCTAATTTTCTTGCCTCTTCTGTGCCAATTCTTTCTTTGTTTATCTTTAGAAGGCTAATAGGAAAACCATTCGAAAGTCATCTCTAGCCAAAACTTCCACAGCAGTCACCAACACTTCACTACTGACAGAGCCGCTCAGCCGTGCAATATGGGGCACGACTGTATTTTCAGGGGGGAATGAGCTGAATTTGGGGCTTGGGGGTTTTCTTTGTTTCTTGAGCAGCAGTAACATGCCAGCCTGGGCTCCCGATTGAAACCGCCTCGACAGGCACAGCTTTCCTCCGAGGACCTTTCCTGTACTGTAGAAGGCTTGGGGGGTGGGGGGATGCTGCTCCTCCCACTTCACCTAATTTTTTTAGTCTTGGCACAAAACCCCACAAAGTTCCCAAAGAGCAGGACTGGGAGCAGATTATTCCCTAGGGAGATACAGAAATATAGGCTAAAGGGAGCAGGCGCAGGGTTGCAACGCATGCCCTATAGGCCACGTTACACAGGAGAGAGGTGAAGGCGCATGCTGTTCCAGGAGGTTTGGGGATGCTGTGGGTGAACGGGGGGCCACCATCTGTTTCTGAAAGGACTGTCTGCTCAGGCACTCGCTGCAATGAGGCGGGAGCCTGACTGCCTCTTCTGTGAAACGAGAAAACCGGGAATGAAGTAGATCCAGGATCCTACTGGTCTTTTTTCCCCCCCTCCACGTTTTTGCTCTCCCTCCTTGCACGACTTTTTCACCCAGTCCCCAGGATAGGCTCTGGTTTTCCTCCCACCTGCCAGCGCTCAACCGCCTGCCCAGGCAGGCAGGCTGCTGCTTGTCCCAACGAGCTCCCGCCCGGTGCAACCCAGCGCCCAGCCCGCTCCCCGCGTGCTCGCCCCTCGCTGGCAGCGGGCTCTGGATCGCAAGGAGGCCGCCCGAGCCTCCGTACGGCAGCGAGCTACACCGAATACGGGTGCTGGACATGGAGACACCACCCTTAGGGCAGGCTTAGAGCCGCCCTCGAGTATCGAGGGAGGAATTAAGCACGTAGGGTGGGGAACATCATCGACCTTCGCACCCGGGATGCCAGCTCAGCGGCTGGAGCTGATGCAGAGCAGAGGTGCCAGGGATGGTCTCAGCGAGCGCAGGTGGGACACATCTCCTGGAGAGGAGCAGCAGGAGGGGAGGGCACGGCCGAGGCAGGCTCCAGCAGAAGACTCGGGGCAGAGGACCGGCTCCTTCCCCCCTGCAGCCTTGTGCCATGCAGGTCACCGCCGGTACCACCTAAGGAGTGCAAAAGCAAAGTATACATAATCCATTTCTCCCACATCTTTTTTTCCTTCTTTTGTAATCTTGAGACAGGCTTTTTTTTTTTTAATTTTGCAGAAAGGATCCAAGTCTCAGCCACACATCTGTTTTAAGGAGAATTTATTTCAAATCCGGACTGTACAAAAGAAAACATGTTTTTTTGGGTGACTTTTATTCTAGACGCTGTCTTTGTGAAGTGCTCTTATGTCCACAAGCTGTGTAAGGTATTATTACAGAAACTCACAGCACCTTCCCTCTTACCTGGTAACATACCGGGTGGTTTCTTTGCTTTATTGCCTGACCTACTTCCCTTTCAATAAACATCTTCCAGCAGCGTGATGTTCTGCAATAAGTTCAAATTCACTTTGTACTCCCAGAGAGGTGCAAGTCCAATGATAGTTGACCAGGTCAGACAAGGACTTCACCAGCACCATCTCCACGGCGTGTATTTCATAATTTCATGTTTACGGAGACATAAATAGACTCCATCCCACAGTCACATGCGTGAGGATCTGTTACACATTCTTTGCTGCAGTCAGACTTGCAGCAGCTCCGTGAACTTCAACGAACCACAGTGACTGTAACTTTTTTTGTTTTCCCCATTTCTCCCCAAAATAATAATGGCAAACAACACGCGTAAATCTTTTACTGATTCTCTCTTGCATTCTGCCTGACAACGGCTCTGAAAACACAAGAATTTCTTCTTTGATAGAGGGCCCCCTTACAAATTTCTTCCCCAGGATTTTGAACATCGAACTGTTGAAGAAAAGCTCTCCCCAAAACAGCCTGGGGAAAAAAAAAAGTCATATTGTTTTTTAAACTTAGGAGGCAATTGAAATTACAGATTAGGAAACGAAAGGATATTCCCGAAGTGGCAGTAGCAGATAGGAGGACTAGAGGAGAACTTAAGAAAAAAGACGACTATAAATCAAAAAGAAGTACTCTTTACAGACAAATTTTCAGGTACAGATGTCAAATCAACATGACCACCTTCTGGGGATTTTCATCGGAGCTCTTCAGAGCCAGCTGCCACAAACAGAGAGCAGTGAGTAGGAGCAAGCGGATGGGACATGTTTTCTAAAAAATGCTCGAGTAAACGTCTCATTTTGTAGGAACACCCAAACTTCTTTACACCAGTGCTAAAAGGGTCTCAGATGCCAGTAACAAAGCATAAGCTCTATAAAAAGGCAAACTATATTATTAGCTCTGCCTCCTTCTGTTCTGCCTAAACGCTGTTTCTCCAGGCAGCGCCCAGAACTCCAGCTGCTCTCCCTACTGTAGCTGCACATCTGAATTTCTCCCACAGTATCTCCTATAATTATTTATTCACCAGTAAAGCAAAAGCTTTTAATTTCCTCTACTGCAAACTCCTCCCGATTTTTTTTCAGCCTTTAAAACCTACTATGAGCAGACTTTCACTAAATGTCCTCTGCAATTTCATGCTAATGCATTTCAGGAACAATATTTTCAACAGATTTATTTTAAGCCTCTTGTGTGTATATATGTATACGTATATATTTACATATTATAGATATACTACATACATACACACACACAGAGCAAGGAATAGAAGAGTTAAGTGGCACATACAGGGGTCTTCCTTTTCACAGTTCCAATTTATTTGAACTTAAACCAAAATCCAAGCAGAGAGAAAATGGCATTCGGGCACCGGGGCTGGAACCAATAGTCTACGCTGAACTCAAAATCCAGCTCCGAGTGCCAACAGGCATGAGAGAGCTTAAAAAGTGGTTTTAGGTTTTGCAGCTTGTGCTTATCTCTGGTCAGAAGTCAAGTTCATTAAACAAGTGACCTCAGCTTTGTCCTTGGGGAGCAGTCGACCAAGGATCAGCAGTTTTCAGTGACTTAGCAAAACCCAGCTTAATTGTAAGATACTGGACGGATTTCAAAATAACCTGACAAAGGCTGGCATTACCATAGCATGCACAGACTGATTGAAATACAGCTCCTGTCACTGGCTAATTTCTCTCTCTCCCTTTTGCTTTCACAAGCACCAGCGTTTCCAAATACCAGCCCTGGGGTCAGCCCACAAACAAGCTGTGGCAGAGCAGCGTTAGGAGCCCTGTTCATAATTGTTCTCCCTCTTACCTCGCTGGCAAGAGGACATTTTTCAAAGCAATTAGTTTTTACCTTCCTCCATTGCACAGCCAGGAACTTAGACAAGTATTTCCTAGAGATGGTCGCGTAACCCTCACGGCAGACCCGCGCCGTGGTCCCCAATGCTGACCCTCTCCTCCAGCCTGCTCGCTGCCCGATTTCCTGCCGCTAGCAAAGCTTTTACGTTTCAACCAACCTTTAACAAAGATTTTAACAAACTAACTTAAAACAAATTCCAACCTTCCTCTCAAGAGCCACATTCTCACTGAAGAGCAGCTTCCTTTGCTCAGAAACCCCGCGTGCTACAAAACCTGAACCACTTCAGATCCTCTCGACAGGGCACGATCAGGTTCCCCTCCTTAGCTCAGCTTCCCCATCTGCCCTTACGACTGCAAGCGCCAGCCCGATCCCTTCCCAGACCAGCAGCTTGTCGCAGGACATCCCTAGCTAACAAAGCCACTGCATCTGCTCCTGCGTTTGGGTACTCAAGTATCATTAAATTGCTAAGACCAGGTCTCCAGCTGCTCATCTCTGCCCCAAGCTACTGCCAAGGGTTTGCTCCAGCTAGCGCTGCGCCTGGGAGTTAGTCAAACCACTCGGACAGTGAAGTACCACCCTTGCAGGGGAAAAATCGAACCAAACAATATAAATTCTTATTGGCCTGTGCCAAAAGCAGGCATTTGGACCCAAATACTGAAAGTACGCCTTTAAATTTTCTCCTTTTACAAGGATAGTGTTTATTTACATCGCACCTTTAGGAAAGAGGATCAGAAATTACAAGTAGATCCAAGCTTTGCACCCACTCTACACATTGCAAGTTTTTGTTCTTTTAACTTATCTACTAAATATTACCACAGTTGGGTGCCACACAGTTGACAGCGAATGGTACACGCTTAGAGCGGCTTTTTTTGCTGTGAACACCGGCATACGAGGGGAAGTGGCCCCAAATGCCATTGGTTTACACACGGTCTGTGCAGTATCTTCAGCAGCCTGCATGTGATGAAGGCTTCGGTCTTCTCTCTAGGACACAGACAAACGGTGCCCAGGTTAAGGGAGGCATTGCTTCATTCGACGTTGCTGGTGGTTGCTGTGTTGCTCTTATTCAGGCAGTGACCAAGTACGACCCGGTCCCGCCGGGACCTCGCTTCTTCACAGGTTAAACAAGGATAACAAACCCTCTGCCTCACAAGGTTGTTGAGGCAGCATTAGCAGGCAGAAAGCTTTGAGATCCTGGAATGAAAGGCATCGAAGGTGCTAAAATATTATTATAAATTTCTTAGTGAGATGGGACACGTGCCGTAAAAAATGGGGTCATAAGAAAAACAAGGGATACTTTTTTTTTTTAATCATTATTTTACCATAACTGCTCACCACCAAACAAATTTCTAATTCTAGTTCAAGAGCAGTCAAGTAAGAAATAATTTGAGAAATGTAAACTAAGGAGAATATATACTTAGGACTGCAAAATCCACCAAACAAATTTCTAATTCTAGTTCAAAAGCAGTCAAGTAAGTTTACATTTCTCAAATTATTTCTAGGGAGAATATATACTTAGGACTGCAAAAATAGTTCTCTATCGCAGTAGGTTAATACACTTTCCCCATGGGCTGTGTCAAACAGGGTTGAGTGGACTCAGTTTGATAAGCACCTAAACTCAGTGGCACTCCCCACTCGGTACAGTCCCACCAACAGTGCAAATCCTAGAGGGCAGCTGGATTCTAAGACAGTATCATTTGCCTGCAAGATCAGACCCTTCCATCTCATTTTAAAATTGCAACAAAGGAAACGTCATTTTTTCCATGCTCAAAGAGTTTTCCGAGTAGAGGATTTGCTTCCATGCACACATGAACAGAAATCCTAGCAAAGAGACTGAATTGTTATTACACTGAAAAAACCCAAACTCACTGCTAGGCCATGTACTAAGTCAGCACCCTTTTTTCCTGGTTTTGATAGTTTGACAAGAACTATCTGTTTAAACCTCCTTTTCTTCAAATTCCAAGTCAGAATTTTATTTTCTATTCCCGATACTTAAATTTCAAAAGCATGGGATCGGATAACATAATAACAAACACGATAATAAGAACATGTTTAAGAACACTTTCATCTTCAGCTTTTCTTCTGCAGTTTATTATATAAATTATGCTTTTAAACATTTAGAGCACTCACATTTCAAAACGGAAAATGTTTAGTTTCACACTGAGATATTAGTGCAAAGAGTGGTTTATCTAAATACAAATAAGTTACATGTCCCCAACGACAGCCAGTGGATTTGGCTGTTTTTAATATAACTCTTAGGTTCATAGCTAACAATTACGTTACCTACACCAAATCTGAGCATGTTGTAGTCAGTAGAAATACTGGACTTCGGTTAGTAACAACCAAATACTCTGACAGTACAAACAAGAGAAGAACAATTCGACTTCAGGCAGACCTGTGAATTCACTGGGATTAGAAACCACCACCATCATTTTTCTGACCTGACTTTAGTTATAAATAAGTGGATGCCAAATGTTCTATTTGACGTTCCATTCCAATTATTAAAATACAATAAAGCTCACGCGCATGCAGGTATTGAATTCCAGTGAATGCCATAGGTCATCTCTGGCACATCATAGACAGTACCTGAACACTGAATACGGAAATATTAATGAAATAATCTTGATCTGGCAAGAGGATAAATGAGAAAACTCAAAGATCCTTCCTATCTCCAATGCCAATTAATTGTTGCTGAAAAATTTATTAAGCCAAGACTGAAATACAGCAATGCTTCTCAGTTACACAATACATACTAAAACCCAAGTTTAAATTAAATCCAAGCAAAATAAATCTTATTCAACGCATCGATGCCAGCGTATGGGGTCACTGCAGTGAAATACAGGCCACTTTGTCAGAAGTAGTTATTAGGATCTTAGAAATCTGCATTCATTTCTCTTAAAGAACTGTTGCGATGCAAAACCAAAGTGAGACACTTCATAAATAACATCTTTATTAATGGGTTTTCTTTTTCACATTCTTTAAAGTGATGTTCAATTGAAATCTGCATAGTCAAGAGTGGAAAAAGAAATAAAAATCGTAGAAGTCGGACCCAAATGTGAATGTTGCTTTTTTTAAGTTAAGTATGACTGGTCACAATCATAGGAATAAGCAACCTCCAGAAATAAATGACCGGGGAGATGAGGGGGTGGGGATGAAAACCACCAGAAACACTCTCATCAGTGTATTTGTCTATTAATGAAGTCTTCACACAAAGACACACAACACCCATTCACATTCATGTGCACAACAGAACGTAAACTGCAGAAGATAGATACTTCCTCTACTGAACAAAATAAAACAGAGCAAGATTATTTGTGTATTTAACTGAGTGTTGATCAGCTATTCCCACAACGGGAACCATTACAATACTCAGGTGGATAAACACACAGCCCAGATTTCTTCATGCCCTTATTACAACCACATTTAAACTAGCATCCTACAGCAGGAAATATGAAATCTGAGTATTTCCATAATACTAAGAATTACTCTTAACACACACTTGTAAAGCAGTTACCACCTCCCTTCTTTCTTAATTCTTAATACTATCACCCCTTTCCTTACTGCTAATGTTATTCACAGTTGGTTGGAAGAGCAGGTGAAGAGGACTTCTCAGCGCCCACGTAATGGCTCAGCCTGTGGAAGTGGTCTGCAGCAGAACACCTCCACCTCCAGCTTCATTTCCATAAGCGCAGGCAACACAATCCTGAGTCTCCCACATCAACACCACAGTGTGACTGCAAGTAGTATTTTTAATATTTACACCATCTACTGATTTAGCTGTTGTTCTCTGCATTATAACCAAAAATCTAGAAGGGAAAACAAACAAACAAGAAAAAGAGGCATGTCCCCTACATAACGGCTGTAGGTAGTAAAGACTCACACATTTTCCACACGCTGGTGAGAGGCCATTTCTTACCTCCAGTTTTGATTTATGCAACAGAGACACTACTCTACAGCTGAGCACTAGTTTAAATGCAGAATTCTCTTATGTTGGTCATTTGGAAAAGCTATCTGATACCGTCACTCCGAACTTCACCATGCACAAACTTTGCATATGATTGTGCAGTAATAAACTTCAGTTACAATTTACATTAGTTAGGTTCTGAATTATTCATCTTATTCAGATGCACAATCTAGGCTTGTGGGGAACTGATCATCAATATTCAATCATACGAGTCCAGATCTGGGCAAGGAGTAAGTCTCATTTATTTGCTATGAGCCTATAGGCTTTAAATCTGAGATTCAAGCCCAGCAGGTCAAAAAAGAAGGTTATTTATGAAATCAAACCGGTCAGAAATACATTTGCTGCCATGGATATTGGAAACGTAAGGCCTAAAGTATTTTGGAGAAGACCTACAACAGTGAGTAAGAGGGATTTGGTAAAACCACTTGCAGCAGTTCGTACTCTTACAAGGGGGAAACAAACTACACAGCGAAACTCAAACCCATCAGGGTGAAAGGGTGACTCCAGGGCTGAAACCCTACCCGCGTTCGACAGATTACAGTAAAACATGCCCAGCACAAACCAACCACAGCTCCGCAGCAACGTCAGCCAGCATCAACAAGACACTGACAGACACACATGCTTCGACACCCCTTCTTCAAAAATAACCTGCTTTCTCCTCGGGGAACTAATGCACTCAAAGATGGGGAAAAAGAGTCAGAAGTCTGGAAACAAGGACTGCGGATAACCAAATTTTACCCCAGAAATAAGCTACCTGGGCAGCCAGCAGCTGCCACACTGGCTAGGTTTCAGGGCAAAACCACAGAAAACAATCCCTCTCGTCCCAGTTCAAAACACCAAAAATAAAATTGGCTGATTGGGTGTGGGCTGATAAATTTTCACAAGCAGCAATGGCAACATTTTTTTTCCCCCTGGCAATTTCATGGGCAAATGTTCTGGCAGACCCCAAATCTAATTAAATTAGGAACAGAATATTTAGTGCAACGGTACTCTTAATTTCTTTGGAAAAAAATCCCTGTATTTCTTGTGTCGCTTCAGGGGTTTAATTCAAGAGACCAGTAGGGTAAGACCACTTTTGACATTAGTTCAAGATTTACATTGGCACAGCTGATTTACATTATTTGTACTTTTTAAAGGTGGTGGTTATAAGGGCATCGGATCAGATTTTTCTTCTACTAACGCAAAATCCTAAAATAAATGCAATTGGCTAGTCTGAAAAAAAAACCCCACCTCACTAACATACAATGAAACTACTTTGTGGCCTTCTGTGTTTCAGGAAAATATCCCACATATTCAGATCATCAGGCAGCCTCACTAGTTAAGACACATTAAAATGAAACA